GTCTCACACCCACCCACCCCCCCTGCCCCCCCCCCCACACACAGACACCGGCCCTTGCTGCATTTGAAGCTTTGGAGGGTGTCAGAAATTGTCCATAACCCAGTTGATTGGTTAGCTTGGTTGACCACATAGGTCCAGGTAGTGCAATAAATGAATGCCCCTTCTCTCCTTCTTCAAAGAGCTATTTTATTTAAAAATTGAAATCTGGCTGTTTTTCTTTTATTATTGGTTTATCTTGTCTTTGTTAATTGCACTGTAAAGGTACTGTATGTGGGTAAGGTATGTTAATGTATTTTTAACAAGAGTCCAAAGTGAGTGTATTTTTCATGAGGTAACTGTTAACAGTTGAAGTTCAGGCAGTGTTCTAGTTCAAGGAAATTTAATTTGAAAGACACCTTTTGCTGCCTTAGGATGCTGGATGATGCCCAGCGTGTTTTAACATGTGTCTCCAAATCATTTTTTGAATGCTGGATAAATGTGTTTCTTAAAAGAGATGAAGTAAAATCTTAACATTTTTGTGTGTCATGTCATTTCCAGGGAATTATAAAAGAATGGGCACTTGTAAGTTTTTTTTTAAATCAACCAGTATATCCATTGAGGTCCACGGAAGAAAAATAATAGGTAGCCTGCCTACCAACCATTCATTCCCAAACCTTTCTGAAAATCAGTATGATGAGAGGTTAGAATATTGGATTGGGCCAGGGAGAGCCAAGTTCTAAACCCCACTGAGCCATGAAACTCAGTGGGTGACCTTGGACCAGTCTGTCAGGATTTGTACAAAGGGACCAATTGTCTGAGCAAGGGACAGGTGCTGAAAGAGAAATTTTGGGGTAAAGTGTCTTCTGCTTATAGTACAAGCTACTCCTGGCCTGACTTATCTCATAGGGTTATTGTAAGGATAAAGTGGAAAGAGGCAGAGCCATGTATGCCCTGCTGAGCTCACTGGAGAAAAGGTGAGACATAAATGTAAGGAACAAAATAGGTTCTGCTCACTGCAGATTTGGGGGGGGGCAGGGTTGGTTCAAGGCTCTGGTGGGCTCTGGGGGAAAAAATAAAATACTGTGTGGTGGCTTCCTCCTCCCTTCCTCTCCCTTACCTCCCACCTAAACAGGTCACATAGCATGAACAATGTAATATAAATAAGAAGACTCTCTAAGGTAATCTTGGTTGCAATAAATAAATGAACAATGCTTAGGTAAACAAACATAGAAGATAACAATGAGCTTATGAGGGAGGGGGAGGCAAAGGAAGCCTAAAGCTGAGCTTTGAGGTACTCTGCACATGCCCAGAGAAGAGGAGACACTGTGCACATTGTGCGCAGAACATGCAAAGACTGCAATCCAGAGCAGGCCCCACGTGGAGGGGAGGGAGGGAAGCTGCCTGTTGTGTGGGGTCGGAGGATGCTGGGCTCAGGTGTGGGAGGAGGCAGAGGGCCGCAGGCGCTTTGAAAGAACTGCTGCTGCCATCCAACTGAGGGTGCTGGTGGAAAGAGTGCCTCTGAGCCGAAGCAGAGTGCCCTGAAAGTTCCAGTCTTACCCCACCCCCACCCCATTCCTCACTTGACCTCTTTCAAGTGCCTCTGAGCCTAAGCAGAGTGCCCTGAAAGTCCCGGCCAGTCTTACCCCCCACCCCATTCCTCACCTGACCTCTTTGGTGAGAGGCTGAGGCACTTGAGCTCCAGCACGCCATCAGGGCAGCCGAGGGTGAAGATGGCCATGTGCACTTCCAGGCACGTGGTGCCCTTGGGACCCCAGAAGACGTCCCAGAGCAGGACCTCAAGGTGCATGAAGGTGCCCTTCTCCTTGTTCGGCGGCAGTGCCCAGCAGCACCTCCTGCAGGCACCACCACCCCACCCCCCGCTCACGCAGCAACACTGCCCGGCACTGGAAGATCAGCTGCCCGATGGCTCCCATGGCAGCTGCAACCCTGCCTCCAAGGGAGTGGAGACGAGGCAAAGGAGGGCGGTGCACCCACCAGAAGGTCTTGTGGCTCTTCCCTGGGTGCGGTGGCGGTGTGGGCCGCAGGGGGTCGGACATGGTGCGCAAAGGAGCTGAGTGCCATCAGCCTGCCCTCCAGCCGGCATGGCTCGCTGTCCAGGAGCATCACTGTCCAGGAGCACTGCACCATTGCCCCAGGCCAACCTCACCTTCCCAGTCCCAGTGGCTCCCAGCAGGTTGCTGTTGCTGCTTTGCCCGTTGCATCCCCCTCTTCATGGGGGCCCCTACAGACAGTGGGCCCTGGGTAAATGGTCATTTTGCCCTCTGAATAAAGCAGCCCTGGGTGTGGGCTGCCCCAGGCACATTCCACTTACAGAATAATATAAATATTTGCACAGCACAGGTCTGTGGTTCAATTTCACATAGTGAAATCGAAGCAGAATACTGTACAGTACTTGGATCATAAGCTGCTATACCAGTTTTGTGCTATAGGGAAAGGATTAGCTTTTACTTAAGTAGCTACATTTTTTCAGTTGATGAAACCACCATTTTAAGGCACCATTTAATAACTTGGAATAATGTTTTGATCTTTACATTAGACATTAAAGTATTGCTGATGTAAAATGTTTGTTTGCCCTGGTTAAAGGTCTTGGAATAATGTTTTGATCTTTACATTAGTATTGCTGATGTAAAATGTTTGTTGATATAGTCAGTTTGCCCTGGTTAAAGGCATTTGAAATCCTATATCCTGTGTAATCAGTCCCTAACGTTCTAAATTTTCTTAGGAAAAGTATTGCTGGAGTTGGAATATAGTACAACAGAGAAGGAAGGAATCCTATTAGAAATTGCAGTCAGGAAAATGTATCAACTGATATATTACAAATCAGCAAGCTGTGTTTTGCTTTTACCCATATTTATATAATTGCCACCTTCTCAATATATCCTCTGAATTATGCTTATGTCTTCATCCACACTATGGTGTAGTGGATAGAATGGGACTCACTCAGGAAACTTGGGTTTAAATTCCCAGTCATGGGTATTCAGTGTGGCTACAGTTGCCACTGGTAAAGCTACTCCTTAAATATCACACTTATTGTTAAAACCCTGTTAGGGTTTTATAAGTCAGATGTAACAGGTGTCAGGAAAGATGCAAGTGGTGTCCAACACTTTCATTTTACTCCTGCAAACCACTGTAAAGATTCTTCTAAAATGAATCCAGATCTGGTGACCTCATGAAACAACCTCAGCAGGGAAATAACATGATTTAATTAGCCAGTGTAATTCTGAGAAAGAATTATTTCATATTTGGAAGTATCCTAAACATGCTATAATTGGCATAGTAATTTAGCTAACTGGTGTGTAAGTTCCGGGTTATATCTGGCTTAGTTGAAAAAAAGACATTCTAAATGCACAGACAACTTTCCATTTGTGCAAGTGGGAAAATGGCTCAGGCATGGAGGAGGCACATTATGCTAGGGACAGAATACCATAGCTCATTGGTGGTTCACACATGTTTCATGCAGAAGGTTCCAAGTCAAATTCCAAACATTTCCAGTTCAAAATTGATCAGGTATTAGGTACTGTAAAAATCTCTGTTGGGGGCTTTGGAGAGCTGCTACTGGTCAAGACTAGAGAAAATAGTAGGCTAGATGGACAAATCATTTGGCCTAGGTAGAGAAGCAATGCTTATTTGGAATCCAAAATGGTTGTGCTTGCTATGGGAGTCTGGAAGTTGAGTGTATAAAAGTAACTTTCTGCATCTCTAGACCTGCTGTAAATCAGTCTTTTGTCTCTTGTGTTGCAATAGTGGTAGGACTACAAGGCAGTGGTTTGCACAATTCTTGCAGGCCTAGGGCATATACTGTACGTATGCATTTCTAGTGGAAGTGCAAGGGCGAAGAGTGGGAATTGCATTTTTTAAACTCATAGTGAGTTATGGTTTGTGACAACTGGTAACTATACAATTATTCCTGACCTTCACTTTTCACTTATATTCTCATCCTGGGTTAGCAAGCAGTACATAATGTGACAGGTCGAAATATACACAGTATAATTTGGGGTGGTGGTAGTTCTATGCTGGTTGTTATGATATGCGTATGGAAGAGCAATATGCTTTCCTAGTCCTTGACAATACCTGGTGCGTAGTAGTTCTGGGAGGCGTTGAAACACAGCCAAATGAAACAAATTCCATTAATGTTCCAGTTTTGA